TTGTTTGTGTGTCTTTTTGTCTGTGTTTGTTTGAGTGTTTCTCTGTGTTTGTGTCTCTGTGTGTGTGTGTGTGTGTGTGTGTGTGTGTGTGTCTGTGTGTGTGTTCTTTTGTGTGTTTGACTGTTTGCCTGGGTGTGTTTGTTGTATTTTTGTCTGTGTCAATGTGTTTGAGGGTGTGTGTGTGTGTGTGTTTATGTTTTTGGGTTTGCATTTGAGTGCATCTGTCTCTGTTTGTTTGTGTGTGTGTGTGTGTGTGTGTGTGTGTGTGTGTGTGTGTTTGTTTGTGTGCATGATTTTGTGACTGTACATTTGCTTTTAAGCGTGTGTGTGTGTTTTTGTTTCTGTGTCTGTTCATTTGCGTGTGTGTGTGTGTGTATTTGTGTGTGTCTGTCTGCGTGTGGTTGTTCATTTGCGTTTGAGCGTGTCTGTGTATGAATTTTTGTGTATGTCTGTGTGTGTTTTTGTCTGTGTTCATTTGCTTTTGAGTGTGTGTGTATTTTTGTTTCTGTGTCTGTCTGTGTGTGTGCTCATGCATGTTTTTGTGACTTTGTTTGCTTTTAAGCGTTTTTTTGTATTGTATTTTGTATTGTGCGAGTCTGTTTGTGTGCATATTTGTTTGTGCACGTTTGTCTTTCTGTTTGTATCTGTGTCTGTCAGAGCATGCTTGTTGTGACTGAGCGCGTGTGTGTGTGTTTTGTGACATAATGACACAAATGTGTATAATGACATAGGTTGTACATGGAGAATGTGACTTATGAGGACATTGCTGACGTCCCCATTATCCAAAGGCTTATAAATGAGACACACTGAGGTTTTTCCACAAAGTAAAACTGCACAGAGTTTCCTGTGAGGCGTGTGCTGCTGTAGTGGCCAATATTATACTACAGTTTGTACAGTATAAAAGCCATTACGCCTATTAAATGTCCTCGCAAATCACAAAAACAAACTGTGTGAATGTGTGAGCGTCTGGGAAGCGTTCCAGAATCACAGCCGTGCGTTTACCTGAGTAATGCGGTCAGATCTTATTTTACAGCGATATGCATGGTGTGCGCTTAAAACATGCAGTCAAACGTTTAATATCGGCCCATGTCGTTCCTCTGCAACAGTTTCCTGGCCATGGGGGCTGAAATTCAAGCATAGCATGAAACGTAGACTCCTCCGCTGTCTGTTATGTGTTTGAACCTGTTCTGTTCAGTCACACCGCGCCTTTGAAATCCGCTTTGTTCACAGAGCCATTCTTCCTGATATTCCACAGGGCTGGTAATCCAGAACCGGTTCTCCATCTCAAGTGCTTCCTATTTTTTTATTTAAAGCTGCAGCTAAATGATTTTCCAGAGGTTCAGTGATGAGAACTGTTCTTTAAGCATGCCAGTAGGTGCAGTAGGTGATTGTCTCCTGTTTAGTTGTGCTGGTTGAAAGTCTCGTCACATTCCAATAGTAATGATTAAAGTAAATGATGTTTATATGTATTTATTTTTATATTCTGGGTGAGGCATAAAACTTAAAAAATGTTCATCCAGTTAGGGTGCTTTCACACCTACACTTTTGTTTCGGAACGTGTCTCGTTTGTCCAGTTAGCGCGGTTCGTTTGGCATATGTGAACAGGGCAATCGCGCTCTGTTCCGCGCCAAAGTAATGGCTCTGGGACCGCTTGAATGAGGTGGTCTCGGCTCGATTGAAGCGAACCCTGGAGCGGTTCGATTGCAGTGAGAAAGCGATCCGATCCGAGCGCGGTTATATCACAGTGTTTAATGTATATTTAATAGGCTTACGGCTATATGAAGAGAGAATTATGAGTAGGGCGGGACCCTGTCAATCACCACCAAACCACCACCTCTCCTGACAGCTGAGCAGGATGCTGCAAAATAAACCCTGACACACTGACCAATGTGAGGAGAGTTTACTCACACGTGACTTGTTTTAGCTCTTTTGGTCCGATTAGGAACTTTGCAGTGTGAAAGCGAACCGCTCCAAGAGCAAAGAGCAACAATGTAACAATTGTAATCTCTGTTTCAGAACAACTAAATCGATTCACAGGTGTGAAAGCACCGGTAAATATTGTCTGGCCGATAATTCCCATAATTGTTATGGGTAGCTCAAACTGTCTGTCAGCAAATGTAGATTAGTACATTTGCACATCTCTGTTCATGCAGATCTGTGCTGCATTCATGTACACACGACACGAGAAAGTAGGCATGGGACGATAACGGTTTTAAGGTATACCGTGGTTTTAAAACCGGCAAAATTTTCTGTAATACCGTTCCTAAGGTATGAGCAAGATATTTTATTTACATTTATTTTAGGACAGCAGAATATCCAAAGATGCCATTTTAAATTGTGAAGAAATCTGTGTTTTTGAAACTAATGAAGACGGCAGATATCAATGATTCATTTGCATTATTTAACCTGACATGTTTATTGCTCTAAAATATTATACATCTTTCAAAACATTAAATATATTGTGTTGAAAGGGGGAACAAGTTTTGTTTTTTTACTCAGACATTTATTTATTTATTTTTTTGTTTATATTTTTAGGGGTTTTTCACATTTATTGGGATAGGACATTGGAGATTTACAGACAGGAAAGTGTGGGGAGCAGAGATGGTGGAAGGGTCCGCAAAGGACCTCGAGCCGGGAATCGAACTCGGGTCGCCGTGAGCACCCCGGTGCTATGTGTCGACGCACAAAAAACTAGGCCATAGGCGCTTACGTGCAAAAATATTTAAGAGCAGTAATCAGAATACTGTGAAATCGTCATATTTTTATCCAAGGTTATCATACCATCAGAATCTTATACCAACCCATGCCTACGAGAGAGAGAGAGAGAGAGAGAGAGAGTGATAGCAGTAAAAAACAAATGCTAAATCAAAACTTTTATAATCCTGAATCAATATTGGAGTTACCGTACGTTCACACCGAAAGAGGCGAGAGCGTCCAAGGTTGCTCTGGCCGCCCTGGCGACAACGCTGTCTGCCTTCAGCTCCGGCGGTGAGAGCGTCAAAACTCGCTACATTGATCTCGTATTTAAAGGAGCCGTTGCAGCATATCAGTTACATTCCTGCATAAAACAAGCTTTCTAGCGTGAAAATGTTGCGCACGTCTTATCAAATTCATTTAACAATGGAAGATCAAGTTGCGTGTGGTGTGGCTTTGCTCTATTTATCCAATATGTGTCCATATGTCTGAAATATCCTAAAGCAGCAATACTGTTTTGTACCGTCACATCGCGTGAGTTTCCCGCTTTTTAAAAATTAATTTATATAACATTAATGAACATCAGTAACTCGCCAGTAACTTATTTAATGCATCTTCCTGTAAGACAACATTGTAAATCCGGCGACCGCAATCATCAAACCCTTGGGAACAACTGTGGTCGGAACCAAAGTTCACAGGTCTGTGTTCTCTGAACTCCTCTCAAGCGGTGGACGTCTTCATTCTGATTGGTTGCCGCCAATACCATAAGTACCATAAAGTTGACTTGATTTCAACTCTCCTCGACGCCCTTGCCGGAGAAGATGCGCCACGCAGCTCCTCGCCGCTTATCGACACCGGCTCTCATTGAAAATAAATGACTTCCAGCTACTTTGACGCTCTCGCCGCTTTCGGTGTGAACGTACGGTTAGTTTTTCATGCTGGAGGAAGGGACGACACCATGGCTGAAGTCTTTCTTTTTGGCTGCATTTACACTGCACTGTTCAAGTGACTCAATTGCGATTTTCTTCTCCAGTCATGTGGCACAGATGGGATATGGCCCATGTACGTTTAAGCAGGAACAAATCACATGGATTCCGATTTACTCAAATCAGATTCAGGCCTTGTTCATATGTGGATATGTATTGGATCTGTGTCCTCGTGTCTGCAGTGTAAGCAGGTAGATCGGATTTTCACCTTTTCAATAGAGAAAAGAGCACTCTTTATTTATCAGCTGATATTCAGCGCCTGCTCTTTTTTTTCCTGGTCATTGCGCCTTTGCTGTGTAAATGCAGACCATCGAATACCAGTCACTTTTAAAAGATGATGTAAGCAGGTCAGCAAAAAAAATCGAATAGTCACAAAATCGGAATTGACTATGAAGATCTGCAGTGTAAATGCAGCAGACAGGTAATGTTTGGTGTTAAAACTATTTTAGCCACGCATAACTGATGTAGATTGTGTTGTTATGAATGGGTTATATGCACAGAAGTGTTGTGCAGCCTAGAGTTGGGCGATGTTGACCAATTTGGCATCATATGATGTCTAATATGAAGCATTGTGATGGACAATGGCATCGTCGTCATAGGTGGCGGTGAATTATTTGTAGCCTACCTCTTTAACTAGCTGACCCGCACGGTCTTTGTTTTACCCAAAACCAAATCATAAATAAATAAAGATAGTTACACACATATAGCCACCTGTCAGTCATTTTTTCCGCAGGACTCTGGCATGAATAGGCAGAGTGATCTGTGTCGTTATAATGGCGTCCACAAACTTGGTTGGTAAAATACACAGCCAACAGGAGCAAACCAACGGTATCTGAGGTTTTGGCTTCAAGTACAAGCGTGACAGCGAAAGGCTGAAGCAGTGTACTGACACTGTGACACGCTCCCTGATAGATTCAAAAGACAGAAGAGTCTGTAGATAGATTAAATATCACGTTTAACAACTATAGTGAGACGTGATCCAGTGGTACGTCCATAGTTGGACTTAACCAATAGGTGAGGTAAGCAGCTGCTTTGGGCCCCGGGGAATTAGGGGCTCCGACCAATGCCAAGAAGCCTATATTAATCATACATCTCTCTTAGACATTTTCTATCATATGTTTTTAAAATCTGTATATAAGCGTTAAGATTTTAACGTTATCATTTTTTTTTTTTTAAATCCGGGGCCTCTCATGAATAATGGAACATTCCTGCCATACTGCACATGCGCGAGGTGTGCGTGTATTCCATAGCTCTCGATTTGCAACTGTTCTTGTATTGAGACACTGTAAAAAGAGTAACCGTGCTTGTGCTTACCTGCAGATTAAAGGCTTCAGCAGCGTGTGGCCAGCGAGCAGGACTGATCATGGCTCTGAGCGAGGACTTCACTGAGCTCCAGACCCTCAGCAATGGCAGATCCTCCAGCATTTTCCCCACCACAAACACACCTGTAGACCCGGAGGAGGAGGAGGAGCAGAGCGTTTCTGCATGCACACAGCCCAATGAACACACACAGATGATGCAGACAGGTGTTGTATAAATTTTAAAACTGTATAAGATGCCACAATCGTTTCATCTCGATTCATGATTTTTCATAATCGCTAGAAGCTAAAATCGAAACTGAATTTTGATGAATTGCAGAGCCCTAATCAGGATAGCGGGAGGCAGATGCAAAGCGAGTCAAATCAGCCAGAAAACATGACTGAAGAGATAACTGTGTGCTCTTCTTGATAATTAGACAGAGCGAGTCATTTCATTATCATTTTTTCACTTGGCTGTGAACTGAATGCCAGTGGTGTCAGTAAACTGAATTCAATTCAATTCAGCTTTATTTGTAAAGCGCTTTTACAATGTAGATTGTGTCAAAGCAGCTTCACATAAATGCTCATAGTAACTGGATCAGGGTAGTTCAGTTTTTAGTGTTTAAGTTCAGTTAAGTTTAGCTCAGTTCAGTGTGATTTGAAGTCATTACTGAGAGTTCAAACACTGAATAGCAAATTCAACGATGCGTAGCTCTACCGATCCTGAACCATGCAGGCCAGTGGCGACGGCAGAGAGGGAAAAAAAACTTCATCAATAGGAGAGTGAAGAAAAAAAACCTTGAGAGAACCAGACTCAGTTCGGCACGACCATTTTAATTTCTCCGCTGGCCAAAAGTTTTGTGCAGAGCTGCAGTTTCAGCGGTGGAGGCTGGAAGCTGGCCTCAGCGAAGACTCGTCTGTCGCTGTAGCGTCACTGGAATCAGTCTCATACTCTCTGAATAGTGAAGTTTCATAAGGTTTATGTTTTTAGCTACATGCTTGCTTTTATCCATGACTGACCTATAATGTTATATGGCACAAAATAATTCAAGAGCATTCAGAAATTTGATGCTCTTTTTTTTTTTTTTTTTTTTTTTTTTTTGCGCTATCACAGTTTAATCACATCGGGAAAACTGAACTTTTATTTTCTGGTTTTGTTCCGGAAATTATTAATTTACAAATTAAGCACTGCACAGAGCCATCAAGGCAAGGCAAGTCTTTTAATGGCTCGTTTCCACTGACTGGTACAGTACAGTTCTGGTCACCTTTATCAAGCTTGCGTTTCCCCCACAAAGGGTACCCTTTTGGTGGGCGTGGTGTATGATCATGCTCGCTCAAATAAATGTCTAGAGTAAAGCTGTACGGGTCGCTTACATATCAGATGCTTTACACACATTAATACTTGTTTATAAATGTTTATTACTAACTTTTCTATGAACATGATTATAACTGCAGATCAATGACAATAGCCTACTGTAACGTCTGTAATTATATTAAATAAATACATAAATGCAACATCTATGATTACATACAGCCCCTTACAGTCTCCGATATATTATTAATTACAGAAAAACTACACACATCATACATTTAGTACTTATTTGAGTTCAAAAACACACGCAATATAGACTACAGTCAGCGCAAACCTCTCATCTGTGTCTGTAATCTTCAGCAGCACATGTAAGCTCTGTTAGATAGTCATTTTGTCATTCCCAGTTCATAATAATCCAAAAGGCGAAGGTATTCATGGCAGTTTGTTCATGATTCAGGTTGCTAAAACAATTTTGCTCCTGTGTTATGACGGCTTCTCCTTTTTTTCCGCGCTTCACTCTCGCGCTTGTCCTTTTCTTTCTGAATGGATCAGATGACGTAGACACCTCAGTAATCACGCACACGATATTATCATCATCTCAGAGAAGTTCGTTATATCAAATAAAGACGTGATCGCGAGCTCCCGGAAGAAAGAGAATAACGCTCGCACTTTTAGACGGGCTCCTAAAGCAACAACAGCACACGGCAGATTTTTCTTCTTGGCTTTGTGTCTGTTCATCAAGACGACGAAAAGGTTTCTTTGAGCTCTGGTCATCCATGGCTAGTTATTATATGCATATAGTATATCTATGTAATGTCTCGGCTGTGTATTTGAACATGGCGGATCCTTTGTTTACATTATGTGTAGCTCCACGAGCTCGTGACGTATCTCTGTAACCAATCAGCGCTCAGCTGCGCTTGTAGCTCCACCTCTTGGTACCCTTTCTCGATTTTGGTGCCGAAAAAGTGGTACGGTTTGGTTCGGTACACGTATTGACAGTGGAAATGGCCATAAAAGCGTACCGAACAGTACCGTAACATACCACTTAGTGGAAACAGGCCATTATAAAGCACATTTCATACACACTGGCAATTCAATGTGCTTCACATAAACATGAATAAAAGAGATGTGTATAAGAAAATAAAGCAAATGATTAAAAACAATTATAAACAGATGAAAATGTGTTAAACAGGTGATAAAAGAATGAAAAAGAAGAGAAAAACGTAATAGTGTGATCTGTGGGCCATAGCACAGTGCTCATTCAGTAAAGGCACAGCTAAACAAATGTGTGTTCAGTGTTGATTTGAATGTGAGCCATCCAGATTTTGACACTCTGTTGAAGTCTGTGAGAAACTCACACCTGAGCAATGCACATGACTTCATTCTCCATATGAGAGGATTCTTTAAGCCGCAGCGCCAAATAAGCCTTTTATATAAAGTATTAAACACATTTCAGTAGTTCAGCTCTTTCTGTCACTTTCATTTTATTCCTATTACACACAGCTCATCTTTCAGGTTTGTTTTGTTAAATTTTTATGTCTGTTTTGTTCCATGCTTCAGTTCCATGTCAACAGCTCCTTTAGAAATATTATTCCCTAGAAAAACCATGATAATGTGTTCCCTACTTATTTTCCCCACTGTATCAGTTCCTCAGGGTTACATTACACTCCCTGCTGTACTTTTTCACACACAAAACAAGGAAATTAACAAAAATATTCAAAAACATCATATATTTCATGCTTTATAAATACAGCAGAAGTCAGAATTACTAGTCCCCCCCCCCCCCCCCCCCTTTTTTTAAATATATTTCCTAAATTATGTTTAACAGAGCAAGGAAATTTTCACAGTATGTCTGATAAAATACCACTGTTACACAATAACTTGCCTAATTACCCTAACCTGCCTAGTTAACCTAATTAACCTAGTTAAGCCTTTCAATGTCACTTTAAGCTGTATAGAAGTGTTTTAAAAAGATCTAGTCAAATATTATTTACTGTCATCATGGCAAAGATAAAATGAATCAGTTATTAGAAATGAGTTAATAAAACTATTATGTTTAGAAATGTGTTAATAACTCAGGGGGGTGAATAATTCCGACTTCAACTGTATATCAGTATATATTGTGATATGATTATATTGATACATATTGCGATATGAATATAATTTTACCAGATGAATTGAACAGCTCTATTTGGAAAGAATTCATTCATTCAGATCTACTGACATGATCAAGTCTTTTTCTATACAGTGCATCTGCATACATTATAATAAACGATAAGCAAAAATAAATAAACAGGGCTCCAGTCTGAAGAGTCTAACAGTGTTCAAGTACAGAAATGTATGGTATAAATAATTTTAAAATGATTATATTTAATAATATCTTCATCTTTTAATAAATAATCTAATCCTGCAATGTGACTATTGCAGATACATGCATTGTGATATCGATGCTCAAACGATAAATTGTTTAGCCCTATATTTAGTATAGGTTTTGCCATGAGTTTTGCTAATACTGCTGATATGACATTAAAACATGAATGAATGAATGAACAAACTAATAAATAAATAAGTGATTGAATGGATGAAAGAATGAATGAATATATTAATACATGAATGAATGAATGAATGAACAAATAAATAAATATACGAATTAATGAATAAATGAATGACTAGATTAATGAATACATTAATGAATAAACAAATAAATGAATGAATGGATAAATGAATAAATAAACAAATGAATGAATGAATGAATGAATGAATGAATGAACAAATGAATAAAATAATAAATGAGTGAATGAATATATAAATTAATGAATCAATGAATAAAATATGAATAAATTAATAAAAAAATAATAAAAAAATTTGAATGAATTATAAATAAATGAATAAAAAATACATGAATTAATAAATACATGAATAAATAAATGAATGAATGAACAAATAAATGAATGAAGGAATGAATGAATTAATTAATATATAAATACATGAATGAACGAATAAATGATTGAATAAATGATTGAATTAATAGATTAATGAATGAATGAACAAATGAATGAATGAATTAATATATAAATACATGAATGAATGAATAAATAAATAAATGAATAAATGAATGAATGAATGAACAAATGGATGGATGGATGGATGGATGAATGAATAGATTAATGAATAAATGAATCAATGAACAAATGAATGAATGAATGAATGAATGAATGAACGAACGGATGGATGGATGGATGGATGGATGGATGAATAGATGGATGGATGAATGAATGAATAGATTAATGAATAAATGAATCAATGAACAAATAAATGAATGAATGAATGAATGAACAAACGAATGGATGGATGGATGGATGGATGAATAGATTAATGAATAAATTAATCAATGTACAAATAAATGAATGAATGAATGAATAAACAAACAAATTAATGAATAATTGATTGATTGAATGAATGAATAATATAATGAATAAGTAAAATTAAAATAAAAATAAAAAATTGAATGAATAAATAAATAAATGAATAAATAAATAAATACTTGAATAAATGAATAATTAAATGAACAAATGAAAGAAGGAATAAATAAATGAATGAATGAATGAATAAAATTAAAAATTTAATAAACGAATGAATGAATGACATTTTTTAATAAAAATTGAATGAATGAATAAATAAATGAATAAATAAATACATGAATGAATGAATAAATAAATGAATAAATAAATAAATACATGAATGAATGAATAAATAAATGAATCATTATTCATTCATTCATTTTCTTTTCTGCTTAGTGGCTTTGAATAAATGAATATGAAACACAACACTCCATAAGCATTCAAGTTTGGTAAAAATGTATTTTTCCCTCCACACAGGCCAGAACGGCGGACTCAAAAGCACACGTCTGTCTTCTTCCTCATCATCATCATCACAGCTCACAGATGCTCAGCGATTGGCTGTTCTGCTGCCCAATGCTCTGCCTCCGGGTTTCTGTGTGTGCTGCTCGCTCTGTTGTAACGGGAACCAGCAGGATTGTGCTCTCTTCCAGAGCGCCGTGCCGTCCGCTGCCCTCCACATGGGCTCCTGCTGCGTCCAGGGCGTCCCCTGTTTCTGCATGCAGCATCACTGGCCGGAGCATCTGCAGAACCAGCCCAACATGGCCACGCTGAGGTGAGCACTACGCTTTGGTTGGTAGTAGTTATGCTCTGGTCTTTTAAATGTAATGCATACATCGTCAGCACACAATACATCGAACACCAATTCATGGCAGGTTACTTCATAACAACATAGCACACGAAAGACAAACTCTCTGTCAGAGTCCTGCTCTGAAACGTGTGGGTCTGCGGGTCTGCAGCTGGATGTATCTCCACTGATACACATATAGACAGAATAGACTCCTGTGAGCCATAATCATAGGAACACACCAACAAGCTGCTTCGAGTGGATTGGAGAGAGAGAGAAGAGAATACCTGTCAAATTATAATAACAAAAAATGCCTACCGAACTGTGACGAGAGAACCAAACGTTTTTTATTTTTATCATGAATCGCCCGTTTCCCATGTGTGATGTAGTGTAGTCTGGCGGAGCGTGAGCAGTGATTGATGGCTTTTGTTGAGTGAGAAAGAGAGATCTGACATGTACCAGTCTGGGGTCGAGTCTCCTGTTGAACTCTTCCCGACACGCTTCATTTACCTGAACACACGGATCCTCCTCACCAGGTGCAACACGCTTTCACGTTAGGATGTGCTGGGTGTAATTGGGTACAATTATAAATAAATGAATAAAAGAATGAATGAATGAATAAATTAATATATAAATATATGAATGAATGAACGAATAAATGAATGAATCAATGAATAGAATAATGAATAAATAAATAGATTAATAAATGAATGAATGAATAAAAAAATAATGAATAATTGAACGAATAAATGAATGAATCAATGAATAAATAAAAAAATTTTTATAAAAAATTTGAATGAATGAATAAATAAATGAATAAATAAATACATGAATGAATGAATAAATAAATGAATACATAAATAAATTAATAAATAAATGAATGATCGATAAACTAATAGATTAATGAATGAATGAATGAATGAATTAATATATAAATACGTGATTGAATGAAAAAATAAATAGTAAATAGATTAATTAATAAATTATTATTACGTATGTAGAACGTATGAATGAATGAATGAATGAATGAATAGATTAATGAATAAATTAATGAATGAACGAATAAATGAATGCATGAATGAATGAATAAACAAATAAATTAATAATTGAATGAATGAATGAACGAACGAATAAATGGATGAATCAATAAAAAAATGAATGAATAAAAAAATTGAATGAATGAATAAATAAATACATGAATGAATAAATAAATGAATACATGAATGAACAAATGAATAAACAAATGAATGAATGAACGAATGAATGAATAAATGAATTACTATATAAATACATGAATGAATGAATGAATGAATGAATAAATTAATTACTATATAAATACATGAATGAATGAATGAATGAATGAATGAATGAATAAATTAATGAAAGAGAGATCTGACATGTATCAGTCTGGGGTCGAGTCTCCTGTTGAACTCTTTCTGACACGCTTCATTTACCTGAACACACGGATCCTCCTCACCAGGTGCAACACGGTAAAACCAGAGACCGCTTTCACGTTTGGATGTGCTGGGTGTAATTGGGTACACACAAAAATTTTTAAACGTAAAAATAAGTACAGTGATTACGTTTCATTTGTTAAAGTTCACACTTAGCTGACGATTGATTATAAAGCTTGTTTGGCATGCCGGGAGAGAGCCCTGAGCTCATAAGATCCTCGAGCTCGGGGCTCCCTCCAGTCTGCAAAGCGTGAGGGGTGTTTGAGCTCAGGTAGATCTCGGGAACTCCCCTGCTGTAGTAGCTGATGAATAGATAGTGATGGCTCTTTAGAGCTAACTACTTACTAGGAGCATGTCTATGATTTGGATTAGTCAATTAGATTGCATGTTTTTGGACGGTGGGAGGAAACTGGGGATCCCAAGGGAAACCCATGTGAGCACGGGGAGAACGTGTAAACTCCGCACAGAAACAGCGGCTGGCTTGGTAAGGACTAGAACCAGTGACGTTTTTGCTGTGAGGAAACAGTGCTAACCATTGGGCCACCATGCCACCCATCTAAAAAAGGAAGAGGAGTAGGGGTGGAAGGGGGGATTCTTCAAAATGAATCATGTCAACGCCACAGCCTACCTGAGTATTGTTGCTGACCATTTCCATCCCTTTATGAGCACAGTGTACTCATCTTCTGATGGCTACTTCCAGCAGGATAACGCACCATGTCATAAAGCGTGAATCATCTCAGACTGGTTTCTTTAACATGACAATGAGTTCACTGTACTCAAATGGCCTCCACAGTCACCAGAGCTCAATCCAATAGAGCATCTTTGGGGTGTGGTGGAACGGGAGATTTGCATCATGGATGTGCAATCATGAGCAAAATCTCTGTGGAATATTTCCAGTGGCTTGTTGAATCTCTGCCATGAAGGATTAAAGCTGTTCTGAAGGCAAAAGTGGATCCACCCCGAAACTAGTAAGGTGTACCTAATAAAGTGGCCGGTGAGTGTAGTTATTAAGGTTAAATTTAGTTTGGTTTAGGTACTGAGTAGAGAATATTGAATAAGATCATTCAAAACATGTACTTTATATGTGCTAATAAAGAGCCAATATCTAAATAAGAGGCACTTGTAAATAAGCCACGAGGTAATAGTTCACACCGAGATGCTTTTTGCTCATGTTTTTCGTCGACGTTTAACGCCTCGTGGCTAAATAAAGAGCACCAATGTGATCGTGCAAAACTGCAGGTGTAAAAGAGTCATTTTTAAAGAGACGCCTCATGCTCGTTTTTTTGTTTTGACACTCCGCGTCTTAAACTTCTTCACCAATTAGATCGGCACTTTTGTTCACGTGCACGGAGCTCCTGAAGTTAAACTGTCCATGCGAGCGCACATTGAAGAAGTTGCCCAGAGGCGATATGAACGTGAAGCTGCTCATCACACTGGTGAACAATAATCATCTCATCATTGCTAGAGCTGGAGCTGCTACTTGAACCATCCATGCTTGTTCGAAACGCCAGAAACTTTAACGGCCCGTTCACATGGGGTGTCAACGCTTCTTATTCACTTTTAATGGGTGACGTCAAGCATTGCCGAACTGAATTGTGAGTCCGTCAGCGCTTGAAAAGTCGAGAGGTCCCAACTTTTTTGGCGCCGACGGACTCACAAGCGTCATCCAATCAGATCGCTGTATGCAAATACACCAGCTCAGACAGTAGCCGATTGCGGACTAATTTCATTGGCTGTCGCTGCTATGACGATCACGTTAGCCCCAACTTTAGGCTGAAGCCTTGGCTGCATCCGAAACCGCATACTTCCATACTATGTAGTACTCCAAAATCAGTATGCGAGCCGAGTAGTACGTCCGAATTCATAGAATCCGAAAATCAGTATGCGAGAAGCACCCGAATGACTTACTACTTCCGGCGAGATTCTGAAGTGCGCAACCCATGCACGCTGCGCTATCCCATGATGCCCCGCGAGATAATTAATGAATGGGAGTGAAGCGATACAACTGACGCAGGTGGATTACGTGACCATGACAAAATGGTGGATGTAGTACATATGTCCGAATTACGTTCATACTGCACACAGTCATACTGTATAGAGCGTACTTTTCTAACGGCCGAGTAGTACGTTTAAATTCAAATGCAGTACCTACTGAGTAGTAGATGGTTTCAGGCGCAGCCCTTGTGTGAATCGGGCGTAACAACAAGCGTCTCAACTTTCTTCTTCTTCTGTGTTACAAGCATGTGTCAGAGCATAGATATATACACTAGATATCGCATATGGACCCTGAGCATGCGTCAATAGCGCCGCCACATTGGTACAGTGCTCCCAGGACAAGTGTCACTCAACCGCACTAGTCAAGACAGTGTTATTACGTGAAGATGCTGGACTTTAGCGCTGTCTACGGGTGTAGTAACGAGCAAACAAAGAAAACAAAGCACAAAGGCAGAACAATTCATAGGTAATATTAAGTTTTTTACGTTTTTGTATGTTCTGAACTTTTGTGCTAATCAGGTAACGTTATTGATGATAATACAGTCACTTACTGCATTCACCCTACGGCAAAGCAGCTCCAACTCGCACTAAACACTCGGCTTATGCTAGTTTTGTTGAATAAACTCAGCAAACAATGCAAAAGAAATATGACAACGAGATGCTGCGCTGCCAGAAACTTGTATTATTGTCGGCTAGTGAAGGAGTCGTTCATAACGGAAATTCATTCACAAACGAATCGCTCCCTCCGTCAGTATGAGAAGTGAAAGCAGGAGAGGAGGTGTGTTTCAGGACATGATTAGATCAAGTTTAACAGGGAGGGTGGATAGTACATTTCTGTACACACAAACACAAGCTTTTTGTCAGGAAAAAAAGCCATCAATGTAGAAAAGTGATGTAAAATTATAATTTTCGTGATTAAAAAAAAAATTGCATACTAACATCCAGGAAAACTCCCGATCATAGACATGTGTATATGTGTATATCTCTGGCTTTGGATGGCCACAGTCCTTCACTGTGCCTTGGTCTCGCATTCATTTCAAAGGAGCGCTACCCTGTAGCAAGATGGCAGCTCTATTGACGCATTCCTTCCAATAGTCAACAACAGGGTAGGCGACATCTAATGTATATATCTATGGTGTCAGAGACTTAAATTTAATATCATTGCACCCTGAGCATCTGTTTTTCATTAAAGGGCACCTATGGTAAAAAATCTACTTTTCAAGCTGTTTGGACAGATCTGTGTGTTGGTATAGTGTATAGACCGTCATACTGGGGTGATATAAACACACCCAGTCCTTTTTTTTCAATTTAGCTACAAAAAAAAGGGTCAGCCAATTGGAGCTGTTTTCAAATCAATCGCACCATTACGTAGGTGTGCGATCCCCCCGCCCACCGAATTGATTGACGGCTGCGCGCATTAACATGTTCCGGTAGTCGCGTGTATATGTCAACAAGACCAGGCAGACATACGCAAAGCAACCGAGAATAAAAGGTCTGTTCTGTTCGCTGGGATCAGCAATCATCATCAAATGTGATTAA